TGTTCGACTGCCCTTTTTGTATATTGCCACTATAATCGATTCGCTCCAATTAGCCGGCACACTCTCTTCGTTCCAGATACGTTCGAATAGGGAGGTCAGTGCTTTGCAGAGGACCTCACCTCTATCCTTAAATAGTGCAGGTGGGAGGGAATACGGGCCAGCCGCACAAAAACGATTAAGGGCTGTGATCGCGCTTCGGACCTTGGCCTCCGACGGAGGCTCTAAACTAACCGTCCATGGCTCGTCCTGCATCACCTGAGTAGGAAGAGGTCCGGGAGCAGGGGGCCAGCTGAACTGACCTTCAAATTGTTCAGCCCAACGAGTCATACGGCGCTCCTTATTGTGTATCAGCGCACCCACGCTCTCCCTGGTTGTCTCACTGACGCCTGGTTTTCTGGGACCAGTGGTGCGGATTAGCTGGAAGAGCTTCCGGTAATTGCCTACTGCTCCTGCCTCCTCCATTTCTTGAGCCCGACTGGTCCACCAGTCTTTCTTGTCAGCACGTAGGCTCCGCTTTAGTTCACGCCTAATCGCCCGTCTGGTCACATTGTGTTCAGAACCAGCCGGGAGGTGCCTTCTAGCTTCCAAAAGGTTCACGGACCTCTCGGATATCCAGTGACTGGTGCGATGACGACTGATAGTGCCACAAGCAGATTCTCCTGCGTCGTGCATAGTGGCCGAGATCTTATTTCACTGAAGTTCAGTGTCATTAGGACAAGACAGCGAGAGTTCGCTATGCAGTGCTTCTTGATAGGCTTGCCTGACCGAGGGCTGGGACAATTTCTCCGTTGCCAATCGGGGGAGACGCTTTGTGCGCTTTCCGCTAAAGTTCATGGAGAAACGACAGCGCACCAAGGCATGATCGGAGTCGACACAGGTACTCCAGTACGAGGGGCAATCCAGAATGGAACCGCGCCACCTGTAACTTATGGCTATGTGGTCAATTTGGGTCCATCGCTGGGCAGCTACAGGTGGACGCCAAGTGGCACTTCGGCACCCACTGTGTCTAAAAGCAGTGCTACTAAGAAACAACTGGTGCTCCGCACACAGTTGCAGCAGACGCTCACCGTTGTCAGTCCGTTCTGAGTTAAGTTTATACTTACCACCCAGCTGAGCTTCTGAATAGTTTAGACGTCCTACTTGTGCGTTCATATCCCCTGCAAGTACTTGAATATCTGAACTAGTAGCACTGCGTAGTAGCGCTTTCAGTTCATGATAGAAAGTGTCCTTGACTGCATTAGAACTGCAGTCGGTGGGAGCATAAACGGGAATCACAAACAAACAGCGTTTTGTACTACTTCGCGAATTCACCTAAGCTGATGTTGTCAAACGGGCTGCACATACACGGCTGTTCACCGGAATCCAATCAACCAACGATGACTCAGCCTTGGAGCTGAGAATGATACCTACACCAGCTTGACCCGTGAGTGCCGCATCGGCGTCTTCGGATGCGTGCAACCAATAACGAGAGGATAAGCCGGGTGCAGTCAATTCAATAACCCCGTTAGGGTCATTAATCCTAGTTTGGGACACACAACACATATCAATACCCAGTGTGTCCAAGGTGCGTGCGAGTGCAGCCTGCTGACCTGTTTGTCTTAGAGTGCGGACGTTGAATGTGGCCTTGGAAACGGACTGCATACATCTAGCCTATATACCCTGAGCTCCTTACTGGTGAGCACTAGGCATACCATCGATGGTTTATTCGCAGTTCTGTACCATATGGGGGCGTGACGTGATTTTATGTTGATGGTGTTCTAGAGTGTAACTCTTGAAAATAGCCTTTGTACCGTTCCCTATCTGTTGTTGAGGTTGCAAGACCATTACTGATGAAATCTCCTGTAATGAGGACATGGATGTACTTCTGATTCAATACAACACTCAAAGCTGATATTATTTTGCGGTCCATCACTGGGGTGGATTTGAGAGGTCGGTAAACCACGGACAAACCTTTTATGTCATCGTGTTTCAGTCATAGTTTAGACCATAGGAAATCAGTGGCACACTTTTGTGGAACATTTTGAGTTCACAACTCTCCAATCCCATATTGTAGTTCTGAAGAATGGACAACCCCGGTTAAGTGATCAACGCCGGTAATCTCACAACTCAGCTACGTTTCGGTGATCATTATGATATCTCAAGACGCTGAGACCTGATGAGGTCGGAGTTCGACTAACTAAATAATACTGCCCTGTGTGTTGGTATACAAGCGGAAGAGACTGTCGGAAAACAAAAGTGAGTCAGTGAATTTTGAATCAAAACCGGAGGTCATGCCGACCGTTGAGGGGTCAGCAACTAGCCGCTTTTTAGGAGCCGTTGTTCCTTGAGTTATGTGGCTGCACGCTGCTATTCGCGCCCTCGTGGTGGATAATATTCCGACGTATTTTATCGGAGGCTGAGGTTGCCACTAGATCAAGCCATTCACTGAACGGTATGAGGGGAAGGTTCACTGATTTAGTCGTCTTCAGTAAATCATTAGACACTCGTGGTCATTTGCCTACTGCATTTGATCGAATTTCTGTAGGCAGCATGTCATGGAATTTAGACCAGTTTCCTAGATGAGTGGTGTCATCAGCTCAGACTGAAGTAACACCTTCATCAGTATGAGACCGTTTCCTTTGTGGTTGGGGAAAACTAGAATCCCTGTCAACAGTTTAGAATAAAGCTACAAATAAATCGTTACCGGACAACGATCATTCAGTATATAGTTTGCGTGGGTAGATAGTCACACACAAACGCATCCATATCCTTATGGAGTTTTACCCTCATCAACTAAATGAAAATTAGGTTTTTGTTTCTCTTCGCGTAAGTATTCATGCTGCCTAAGGATTTTGGTGTAGCTCCCCGATAGTCAGTACGATGATATAGTGATGAGCAAGTATTCATTCATAAAGCACGAATTTGAACCACTGAGTTGTCGTGATGTGGTTCACTAGCTTTTCAAATTGTCGATCTTTGCTATCCTTCCCGATTCATGGTTTCCGAAATTGTGGCCACAGTACTTCTCGTTCATAACAGAGCGCAATTAGTCTGGTCTATCCATGCAACTATACAATGTTTGATGGGCAATTTTTCCAATCGCCACGCCTCTGTTCCGTTCATATCAAATGCCAGCTGCCATCACAGTGATAAAGATACTTTCATTCAATGTGCACCTCAAACATTAACCCGAAGACATTTTTGCATATCGGGGCTACACGAACTTATAGCTAATTTGCAGTGGAAGACGACCGTGAGCATCCGCGCCTCCCAGGCCACGTTAACCCAACCATGCACGCGCATGACTACCCGAATCACACTTAATTGCGCATCGTTATACTACACAACGTTACTCATTAGCAAACTGATAATGACACTTGGACTGGTGCCGAAGCGTTTGGAACGACATTGCTAAGAGAACATTTCATCCAACAAGTATGTCCTTCATTAGCCCGTGCCAAATTGTTATATAGTATTCAACTCTTGACCAATTCAAAATTGGCAGAATATTACAACACATTGGAAACAATAACAACAAAGGGACAGCAGGAAGTCAGTGGAAGTGTTTACTGAGCTTAATATGTTGTGTGAGCTGGCAAATGCCTGGGTGCCCAGCCCGAGAAAGAGGGTTGACTTAAGGGACCCTACCCATGGTCACAAGCAACTGCCCCCAAGGGAGCGGGGCTACTCACTCAGGCGGATGAATAAGGAGACCGTCGACAGCCAGATGACTCATTCACTTGCTTCGTGTTCGGTAGCAGTCCATGCAGAAGCCCGTGGCTAGCAAAGTCGTACATCTGCTCTCCGTTAGGTGCTCATTTCTGGTTACAGAAGTGAGTAATCATTGTCCCTATATCCGGTCACATTGGCTTTGACCCAGCGCCGTACAATCTCTTTTGGAATTTGCTCGAGTACCGGGTGATCAATCCAGAACTCCCCATGCTCTAAGGCGCTTCCGCTGATTGTCCGCGACTGCTTATTCATTTCGTCTGCAAAGCAAACGAGATTTCGTCAGAGCAGTGAAAAAACATAAGTTGCGATTGATTCCAATCGAAATGTTGACACATCGCAAATTATGTCTTCTCACTGCTCTGAAGAAATGGCTGAAGGGGACCCATTGTTTTACCTTTCGCAAACGAGATTTATTTGCAGGTACTTCCAAAAGGAAAGCATTCCTCCATCCGCAACCTGGGGATGCGCCAGATAGCGTATAGCTTCACCGCGAGTGTGCCGTACCATAGACTGTAGGCCTGCGCGTTACTTGATCTCGATGAGCAAGCCTCATCGACGCTACAGTTAGGTTGATTACACCTTAAACTGACTCCAGTGTGATCCAGTTAGCTCGATCAATGGTTGTCACATACCTAAGACAAGGCCAGCCATATGGTTCGAGTGTAATTTACACAGGGAGGCGCTGCCTGAATTACCACTTCTGTCATTCTTTATGCCGCGACTATTGCATAGTTGCGTCGCCTTCAGTTGTTCGCGTTTGTCCCACAGGGTGTAGTCTATGTTTGCAAGGTGGATGTCAAGCTCCTTACGGAGCAGCCTGCTTATGTGTTCCGCGAGGACCTAAAGCTACCCAGGATCATTCTTGTTGTTAGAAATTATCTAATTTAATGTAGTTGCGGTAAGGTATATTCAGAGCGACTGATTTCGAGTTGCACACTTTTCCTCCGTTACCTCACATTGCCTCTGCCTGTTGAGCGTGGCTGCGTGTCACTGAATCGGGCAACTTGGAAACACTGTTGTTACGCACGTGTTGTTGTTTTCCCAGCAGGATCGCAATTAGAGGAGGGTCCGTTTCGTTTGATACTCCTTCAATCCAGGTGGACGATCAGCTTGCAAATAGCTTAGAATGCGCACCAGTTGTTGATTGGTCATATGAGAACCATAATTAGACTCGCCGAAAGAATTTAGATAACATATAGCACATTGCGTAGATCCATTTACTAATTTGATATGTTTAATTTATTATATTTCACGTCCTCTCATGGACCACGATGCATACAATGTTTCAGGGATTTGATTCATCGCGAGGATTACATGAACATTCCTCCCGAGGCATTTTGTGCAATTATATCCAGTCCAGATCTTTACATCCGGGAAGAAATCGCCTTGTTTAAGGCTATTCGGAAATGGATTGACCGAGATCCGGACAATCGTTCCTGTCATGCTCATCAGTTAAGCGAACACGTTCGTTACCAATTGTTGGATGTTCGCAGTCTGCTCGAGATACTACATTCACCGGCAAACGAGTGCTTCCACGATCACATTCAAAAAGCGCTGATGGATCTCGGAATGTTGGCAGAGCAACTGGCTCATCAGAAGTGGGAAAGGAAGGTACATAACAAGTAAACGTCTCTATAACGGTGTTGCATTCAACCCAAGTTCACTTCCATATGTTGCCTTGGTGTGCTGCAGGTTTTGTAGGAAGAGGCACCAACCCATTTGTAATCTGGTCGAAGTGTAGTCACCTTCCAGTCACTCTGACGTCAATGCCAAGTCTGAAGGGCCACTTTCTTGGCTAGTTTGGTTAATCGGGTTGACCAGTACGTTATTTTGTTTCAGTAAGCTGTGCTGAACGAAGAGGAACTGGTGGGTAACAGAATTCCAGATGCTTCGTCACCATTAAGCATCCGTTATTGCTTCAAAATCGCGTACCCCTCCTACACTGGTCAGTTTGTTCTCTAGTAAGATAGATAAGTAGGTAGACGTGGACGCAAGTGGATGGAACAAAAGGGAAATGTAGCGTTGAACGGTTATTGTTGAACTTAGTCCCAACATCAGCTTTCCCTATGGTGGCTACAACGGGAGATGTTGCACTAGTAACAATTGCTAACAAATGCAGGATTTTGTTCATGTGGAAGGACCTTGACGGCAGACTACTCCGCTTTGGTTGGAATAAGTTCTCAATCAATCCTCCATGTACGTTGTTGTGCTAGCGATGGTCTTTGCTCAGTTTACGGTATGTTAGGATAACCCAAACTGCGTAATTTACACTGCTGATATCCAGTTTGAATCCATTTTGCGGGAAGACAGGTGCAGATGCAAACGAACAAAGTTTGTAGGCTTTGGGGGATATTTTGCGACCCTGCTTCTTTCTGTCTGCTCTCTGGCACTAACAACTGTTGTACTTGCTTGCTTAGCTGTCCTGTGAGACTGCAACTGTCTGACTGCTCAGTCATGCGCCCAGCCAACCGAAGGAATACGAAAGGCCAGAACTCAATTGACAGAGAGTATATCTGCAGGATAGGTTAATTCTATTTATTGGTAAAGGAAACAACTTAATTTAGGAGGTCAAGGTCACTCACTCACTTTTCTGCATCTGGTTTCGGCCAGTGAGCGTGAATTCCGCTCCACGGGTTTATCATATTGACGGAATAGTTCGATTCCTTTGAAGCTGGCTGGTAGTTGCTGACCGATCAATTCTCACGCCATTCCCAAATTCAGCGAAAACCTCAAATCTACTATCGCACTCGTGCTGATGACCTTTAGGTGTAGCGGACCGCCTAGGTGCCACGCTTACGCCTCTATTAGGATACATACCCCGCCCGAAGGGATAACAAATGTTAACCTACCCCGTGTCTCTGGTGGTAGGTAACCCTTGCCCTGGATTATGGCATCAGCGAAATGTCGGTCATCCTGCAAAAGTGCTTTGCCGTGGTGCGTGAATTTTTGGCGAAATAAAGTGACTTGAATTGGGTTACGACGATTCCGGTTTGTGTAACCCCTCGGGTGGTCTGTATAAAGAGCCATGCAGTGGTCTTCTGCACCACCCGAAAAGGAATACCCTCTTTGACAGTACTGTAGATTCTACCACGCACAATTGACTTTAGCAGGCTCGACGAATGTGGAAACCATCGCTCCGTTCTTACCCTTCGGGCCACCTGGTAACCTGTGTTGGTTATATCGAATAGTGACGTTAACAAGGATGAACCGGGCAAATGCTAGCCAACAGAGGTACGACTTGCATCTACATGATCGGCGTGTTTGACCTACAGCGTACTAGTCAGCTTCACAGCACGTCATTTACACATCAGATGAAGTGCCTTCCGATGAGACGACGGTACTTCGCTGATCGAATTGAGACGGAACAAGGCATTCCAAGTTGCTGAGGCTAATCTGACCTGAGATTTTCCGAGTGCAAAGAGAGTTAATAAGTGCTGTCATAAAAATCACTAACAGCCAGGTGTGCTGCCAAGTAAGACGTCAGCAGGTGATCACGAGGCTGCAGACACCGTATGGTTTTTTCGACCTAAATTGTCCTGTAAAGTGTTCCACTGGTTATGGAGATAAAAGTTAATAGCAATCTCAGAACTAATACTTTAACAGCCAAATAGCATTCCTACTTACCGGATGGGTCGAGGTTACAATTTAAATTGTGCATCTCCAAGTACAATCACTGCTAGTAGTTCATCCACAAATCAAACAAAACTAAACTCGATTTTAGCCTAAATTAGTAGGTGCACATGAGCAGCTGTTATTTGGGTTTGATGAATGGTTAACTCTATCACTCTCAGGACGGTGCAATCATAGGCTACGTTGTTAGCATCAATACGCCTTTACCAAATAGCACGATGTCTCCCATAATATCACGTGAAACGGTGGTCTTGTAATCCAGGCAGTTGAAGTGATGCGAACGCTGAATGGTGAAACATTGTGGATAGATAGCACGTAGAATGTGACACGTTAAGTCAGTTTCTTAGGTTAGATTGGCGCCTATCAACACAACTCTCCTGATTTATAGAGATTGAATTGTTCAGATGTGGCTCAAGTATAGACTTGCTATTATAAAATAAAGTCACTCATGCTACTTCGGAGAAAGAGGATTCAGTGGTAATACACATACAATACAAACGCCTTGAGGACGGAATAAAGAGGTAAGTAAATGAAACCGTTGTTCTTCTAGTGAAGACTACATGACAAGTGAATACAACGTAGTTGGTATTGCTTATTATCAGTCTTTCAGATGGCTTGATATCATACAGCGCATAGCGAACTTACAACTCATGAAACTTAAGCCATCCAGACCAATCGAAAATCGTCCACCTGCTTCATGCTTTAACTGCTATTCTTCGTGTATAGTGTTGATCGGGGCAGAACAGTAATCGGTAAAACGCGAATATGGTCACGAAAGTGCTACAATGGCTGACCAATATACACTAGTTGCAGCCCATCAAACACCCTAGTGGTGTGACCTAGCGATGGGCTAGTTTCTTTAAAAACCACCCATTAATTAGATTCGTTTATGGGGTCCCAACTTGCAAGTCGCCTGTCTGTTCAGCAGTGCGGATGGTGAAGTACCCGCATACATATTGACCCTCTTTTTATCCTTTATATGGCGGTAAATAGCACATCGGGATTGGTCTGCATGCGCTTGTTTGCCTGTCCTTTGCTGCCACTTGCTAAATCTAGCTGAAATATAACCTCTACCACGTGTTAGTGGAACCAGCAACATTGGATCAGTTGATGGCGTATTCGAGCTGTCGTCAGGCTTTATCTATGGTTTTGCTATTCTGTGAGGTCTTGTTCCGCCCCCTGTAATACAAGAGACACTGGAACGTTGGCGGGGTATTTTGCACCCCGCGTACTTACTAATTCGACCTTTCTCGTGGCATGGGCTGAGGGACATATCACCTGTCCCGTGGCTAATTCCTCTTGCACAACTTTGGCTACAGAAATAAAACACTATTCACTGCGCAAGTGCTCTCGATTCGCACAAAAACTAGTCAGGATAGCAAGATGTTAATATAGTCGGAAAGTACTAACTACGGTTTTAGACTATTAAGCAACGGAGGCTGAGTAGCACTCGACCTTGGGCACCTAGCCTCCTTAGTACCATTATTCCGAACTTTGCAAACCAAGCGTCAGATAGCTGCGAGAGCAGATGACCAGTTGTTACATAGGTATGTTGTGAGCCAGAACACAACCGAGACTAACTGTAGCTTGATACGACTCCACAATAGGTCACAGGAGCAGAGATGCCCACTAATGTTTGGGTCCATCAGCCAATCCGATGCAGTTAGTCTTATTCAGAGTGAACCAATCATCTCATCGATTAGGGAATTCAAATTCTACTTTATTGAGGCTAATCCTACGCCCGTACACGGCACCCTATCTCAGACACGAATATTCACTTATTTAAGCCTCACCCAAGTTCACTAAAATCCAGACCGCTTAACTCTAAGCTGGAGTACCAGTTGACATTGATGTGCATGATGAGGCGGATGAAAAGCCCTTTGTTGAATGTGTAGCATTAAATGCTATTTAAGCAAACAATGCAAGACTTAAACCAGTTCTTATTTAGGTTGACCAAGTGCCTCTGGAAAATTACCTTTTACGTTCGTGCCAACTATACTGCAGCTCTGTTTCAGATAATCGCTTGCCTAGCCTTCGGATTCACCAGAGTTGTCGCATAACGAAGTAGGTTATACTTAACCTGGATCACGGGCTAGCCATCGACGTGCATGAGGTGTTACTCCATAAAGCTTTAGGGGAATGTGTAATGATATTTAGTCTATTGTTAAACGATAAATTGATCGGGGAGGATATCTACCCGGAATAAACAAAAACCTGGCACTAAACAATGACAGATCAAGACTGCGATTGACACAAATTGCCAAAAAGAGTAACAGTTGAGCGCATAGCCAATGAGTTCATCTTTCTACAAATCAGAACTTGCACATCACTCGCTAGTATATCTTCAACATCTTGTTCATTAGCAATTAGGGAACACAGGAGCTGCAACGCGAAAGACACACATAGGTGAAGTTTTAACGACTCCAAGGCAAACAGAAGCAGAAATTACATATCTTAAACAGGCAAAAGAGTGTAGAACTGTCAACCACTTCCGGAAGAGCAAGTTGCCCTCAATATTTTGGACGGAGGTCAATGGAACAATGGTTTTACACTGGTAAAAAGCTAGTGCTTAACAGGTCCCGTAGGATGGTTATGGTGAAACATCAAAATATAACGAAATTCTTATCAAACTTGGGTTTACACCAGTGAACTCACAGAACTATACGTAATGTAAGCTGTAAATCCAACGTAAGTCCTTAAGAAGTGACAGCGAATGGGATGTTGGTAAAAATCGTGTCTCATTCTGGTGTACACATAGCGTAGGGGAAAAACGTGGGACGAAACCTGTGATTTGACGCCCGCTGAACTCTCTTACAGACTCTTGTGTTTATCCATGGGTAATGGGTCATGTAAGATGGTGCACGGTCAATTCGAACTTTGAACTCTGCCAGCGTGGGAGCACATATGACAGATTCCGGTGGAGAATTCCACGTTCTGCAAATGCGTAGGGAAAAGCAATTCCGACGGCATTCTAAACGACT